GGGCACGGACTAGGAACCGAGCGGTTCCTGTCAGCTCCTGGACTCTGTCCCTCAGTCTTTGCTCGGTGACAAGTGACAAGGACATTGACTGGGAGGTTTCTGGGTCCCTCCAGCCCACGGTGGCTTTGTGCCATCTCCACACTGATATCAGCTAAACCTCCCACCTCTTTTTTTTTGCAGCCCCCTCCTCCTGGTTGTCCCCCCAATGCTGCCCAACTGGCCGTAATGCAGGGAGCCAACGTCTTGGTGACACAACGGAAGGGAAACTTCTTCCTGGGAGGCTCAGATGGCGGCTACACTATCTGGTGAAGAAGGAAAGGGGAAGGGGGGGACGGGGAAGGGGGGGGACAGGGCTCCATTTGTGTAAGGAAAGACATCACATACTGTCAGCACTTCTCACCACCTAACTGCTTTAGTCCGTATTAACCTGAAGTTGCCGATCAGACGCGCCGCGGTGAGGTGTCTTCTCGGGTTGGTGTCCCACCCTGCGGGTACTTTTCAAGTGAAAGAAGAAATTCTGTTGGTGACAGCGGTGCCTCTGTTCAGATGGGGAAGGGGTGGAGGATTAATTCAGGATAGGAATGTGAGCTCAGCAGCCCCTGCCTCTTCCTTTCATTTCACTGGAGTGATTCCACTGCGCCGAGCTTTGATTGAGCTTTTATGAAGCTTTTATTAAGCGACTCCCTGTACACTGGTTTTGGGATCTGGTTTTGCTGTCCCTTCACGCTCGTACGAGTGCACTGGACCCAGAGCCACCACCACCCAAGTTTCCCTTCCCTCAAAGCGAAGGTGCTGGGTAGAAAAACAAGGCAAACTTCACTTCCCAGTAGCAGGGAAGACACCTTGGCGCTTCTTTCTTCCTGACCTCACTCTAAAACAGATCCCTGGAAGCACTCCGTGCTCACATTCATCATTTCCCTCCAGGAAGTTATGCAGCTGGTGTGTATCATGGGATTTATTATTATTATTATTATTATTATTATTATTTTTAAATACACTCCAAGTAATCTTGGATTTCTTTGCACATTAGATCTGATCAAAGCCTTGCTTTGGTGCCAGAAACACAATGCAACTCCAGTTGGAACATTTCATTCGATGCTAACTAAGCTTGTTGGACGATGCTTAATAAACAAACTTCTTTTCTTTTTTTTCTTTTTAGACTCAACTTGGTGTCTTGACACCAAAACTCCTTTAAGCTGTTGTTCAAACAGAGAGGCTGGTTACCATCTGGCCAAGGGTGTGTAGCAACTGTCAATCAACACACAAATTAGTTTGGTTAATGGGTCGTTTTATGAATGCGTACTTTAAAAAATAACTTGGGTTTAATGAAGTCTTATTTAGGGTTAAGAAGAATCTTTCAGGGATCCTCAATGTGTTTTTGTTTTTGTTTTTTGTTTTATGAAGAAAAATATCAGATTCAAATATATTTTATCTTGAGGTTTCAGTTTAATCTCAATCTGTGTCTTGTATGTGTTGTGTTTAACCGTACAACTGACTGTTAATGAAAGCTCAGCGTTACGTCTCTCTCTGTATACACTGTGGTGCACTTAACTTGTGGATTTTTTTATACTAAAAACAAAAAAAACCAAACAACAATGTAGAATAAAGACTATTTTGAAAATTTGAATAAAGTAGCAAATTTACATTAGACCTCAAATAAAACCCTTTGGCTCCTGTCTGTCGCAAGCCTTCGGGTTTCTTCAGTTATTTCCTCTTTGCTCCTGTTTTGTGAACTTCCTCATTTGGGTTTTTTATATATATTTTTTGGGGAAGGTTTAATTTAAAGGAGGAACTGCCCTTGTGGAGGGAGCAGAGGAGGGATGTTGAGCTGCTCCTCACCCTGTCCTTGTGTGTAGAGGAAAATGAATGCCCGTGCCTACGTGAGCCTGTGTGTTGGTGCTAAAACCAGCTCTGTGGATGAAGCAAACCTGCTCCGTGTCTGATTTTCCAGAGCCCTCTGAGATCAGGTGCCTCTCGGAGCTGGGATGAGCTTCCCCAGGATTTTTAGGCTACAACGGGGCTTTCTGTAACTTGCATAAGCTGAGTTTACATCCGCGCTTTACCTTCGCCTCCGAATTAGCCATGCTAATTACCCCACCCTTAAATCATCAGCAGAATAACTTAATTGTTTCGTGAGATAAGGAAAAAGAAAACGAGAGCGACTCTTGGGGCATTTGTCACTGGGCTGTATTGGAAAACACCAAAGGGAGGAGATGTGGGTACGGGCAGGTGGAGCGCGGTTGTGCCCGCTCTCCGCTCTCAGCAGCGATGGGCAAAGCTCTGACACACACCGATTTATTTTTCCCTCCATGGTTAGCTTAATAAATTAAAGAGAGAGAAAAAAAAGCAGCTTATAGATCCCTAATTCCAGGGAATTTAGGTAACTTGGACTTGAGTGCATCAGAGGTGGAGCCGGTGGCTTAGATAAAATATTCTTCTTTCTCTTTGGATGGAGCATCTTCCATCTGCACCGACCCGTTGGTCTCTGCCGCCGGCTGCTCGTAGGTGAGGTAGCTGCCTTTGTTTCTGTACAGGTAGATGATGATCACCACCAGGACCGTCAGCAGGGTGAGGAACACCAGGGTGATGACAACTACGGGGGGGAGAAGACAGAGAGGAGCAGGATTTAGCCCTGGTCTTGAGCTGCTCCTCAGGAAATGGGGAGGATCTGGCAAGGAGTACCCCTACCTGCGATGACCACGGTGTTGACATCCTCATGGAGAGGTGGGGTGTGAGCCTTCCTCAGGGTGGGGGTTGTCAGCTCTTCTTCATCAAGCATTGGGAAGAGAGGAGAAGGTGAGCAAGGCTGATCCTAACCCAGCTCTGAGCCAGGCTTAGCTGGACAGTGCACACAGCGGCCCCGTTCAAGGTCTCACCAAGGATTATATGGCAAAGTTGTGCCACAACTCTCACCTGTGGTCAGAGGGGGCTGATCTTCCATCTCATCGACTCCTTCCAGGTGAAGGTCTGGGATCCTTCAGAACTACCAAAAAAAAAAAGAATAAAAGTGATAAATTCACACGCGACACCCCAAAGGGCTCAGCCACGAGGAGGGGTGGCCGGCGGTGACGCGGCGCTGACCGAAGCGAAGGTTTTATTTGGGTTGATGGAGGGGAACGGGCTGGGACACGCCGGGCTCACGGCAAAGCCAGCCAAGGCAGGAAAAACCAGACACCGACTCTACCGTTGGTTTTCCAACTTTGAGAGCTTCCAGTTCCCTGTAAATCCTTATAAATCCTCCGGATGTTGGTGCCGCAGCCGTTAAAATGTTTCGCCTACAAAACAGCCGCCAAGCCGATCTCTGCCCGAGCTGGATGAAAAACCTTTGTGACCTCCTGAAAAAAATCCGGTCTGCGGCGCTTGGGCACGAGTGACTCAGCGGCTCGGCGGGGACGTGCCACTAGATGTCAGGAGCAAATAAAATTTAATATTTTATTTTTTTATTTTTTTAAAAAAAGAGGAAATGTAACTGCGAGAGGGTGGATGTGGATGAGGAGCAGGGAGCCAGGAGCATGGTCGTGTTGTGCCATCAGGATGTGTCTCATGAGGTCGGGGTGATGCTAAACTCTGCTGGATTTTGGGAAGTGGGATGGATTTCTCAGGATTTTTCAGGATTTCTCGGGATTTCTCAGGATTTCTCAGGATTTCTCAGGATTTCTCCTGCCCTGGTTGTCCCACCATGGCCCTCGGGACTCAAAGCGCTGTCAGCTGTTTTGCAAAACGTCCCATCTGACAGTGGGTTTTGCTTTCGAGCGCTGCTGGACGTTCGGGTTTACAGAGTCACAGGAATTCGGGAAAATTAATTTCCCCCTTGCCAGCAGCGTGCACGGATGGTCCTGGGACACATCTCCCACCACCCAGGACCCCAGCTCTCCAGCAGCTTCCCCTGAGCACGACAGCTTCCCCCTGGGCTCAAGCTCAGGCTGGCGTGAGCCACCAACTCTGCTTTACACCCAGCTTTGCTTTCAACTCAGCTTTGCATTAAACATGGTTTTGCTTTACACCCAGCTTTACATTATACACAGTTTTTCTTTAAACCCAGGTTTACTTTAAACCCAGTTTTGCTTTAAATCCAGCTTTGCTTTAAACCCAATTTTGCATCAAACCCAGCTTTGCAGCTTTGCTTTAAACCCAGCTTTGCTTTAAAACCAGTTTTACTTTAAACCCAGCTTTGCTTTAAAACCAGTTTTACTTTAAACCCAGTTTTGCTATAAACCTACTTTTACTTTAAACCCAGCTTTGCTTTAAAGCTCATCAGACTCCTCCAGCAGCGACGTCCGGGCATCAGGAGCTCCACACACTTTCCAAAGCCAACCACAACCTTCCCAAGGAGCAGCAGCTGCTGCTTGGGTGGCTTTGGAGCAAAAAACTGGGTAAAATTTCCCCAAAAATGTGAAGTTGGGATTTTAAGGGTGTCCTGGCTTTGCTAGGACAGGGTTAATTTTCTTCTTAGTCGCTAGAACAGCTGGGGTTTGGTTTCAGTGTGGGATTTGAAGAGAGGAAAAGGTGCTGTTTGATGGAGAAGGAGCTGGTGCGAGCTCAGTCCTCGGGGAAAGGGATTTTTGGGAAGCGTTGGGAATCGCCAGTGGGAAACCAGTTCCGTGCCCACGGTGAAATGGAGTCCTGGGACCCCCCGAAGGTTTAAATCAGATTTTAGGTGGGGGGAAGACTCTCTTCTGCAGTAAAATATCAGCAATCAGGAAAGTGAAGCTCCCCACGTTGCATTCCCAGGGTGGGATGCTCCACCCGGAGACCCCCTCACCCGCTCCCGCCTCGGGATCATGGGAATGAACTCGCCAAAACCAACTGGGAAGGAGTCCGGTGCTCCACGGCACGGAAAACCATGGGATGTTTTGCCGGGGTTACCTCACCGGGATGCAGCAGCCGCACGGTCGGAGTCTCCGGGCGTCCCCGGGGGGCTGCTGGAATGGGGGTGACTCACTTCCCCAGGATCCCTACGGATCGCTGTGGGGTTTTCAAATCCGCACAAAGGGTTGTAAAAAAAAAACCAACCAACCAACAAACCAACGCAAACCC